TCTGAGTTGGGTTTTAAGGGATGAGAAGAAGTTTTCCCAATCAATAACACAGAGGTGGTCATTTCAAGAAAGAGAGGAGTATGTTGTGCATGCTTAAAGCTGGGTTTCTCAAAGTGCTGTCATGAACCACCCATATCAGACTCACCTAGGGGCACGTGGCAAACACGCAGGTTTCTTGGCCAGCCTCAGATTCCCGGATATGGTATCTCAAGGGTCAGATCTGGAATCTGGATTTTAAATAAACTCCCTAGGTAACACGCACAGTAAAAATTTGAGGATCACTGAGGGAATTAGGGGAGTAGCGACTCATTCCCCAGTCTCCTCTTTTCAGATGGACTTCAGATCGAGGAGAGCCACTTCTAGCCTAGAAGTCAGAGAAGGCCTTGTGGGGCTGTAGCATAGGAATAGGAACAAGTAGGAGAAAGCAAAGACCCCATGATTAGCGCACATGATCCTGGTAGGGGGAGCAATGCCCACGAAGCCTTCTCTGAACTTCTCAGCTGGGGTATTTCTCTGTAATTTGAAGTCCATATCATGTTACATGCAGCTGTTTCATGACCCTTAGCCCAGCCCACCACACATCAGCCATTTGTGTCCACAGCTCCTTCCCACTACAATAGGGGCAGGCTCCATGTTGAAGTGTTTCTGTTTTCTTTCATTCAGCCATTTTATTCACTTGAGAAGTTCTCTTATGTGTAAGCGGTGCTGGGTTTGGGAACAAGACAGCCAACGTGTGCTTTCATTTGCTTCTCCAATACACCCATTTGTGCATATGCACCCAGGAAGGCTCAGTAAAAATCTCAATACAGCTAACAAATGAAGGAATGAACCAACCCACAAACAAGCCTACGGTGGCTCTGACTTTCGTGAATAACAAGGGATGGCTACAAGGTCTTCTGGACTCTTTGGGGCTTCTGTAGCCATGGGAGACTGGGCCATGAGGAGGTGGCATCGCACTGCCACTGATGCCAGCACTGACCAACTGCAGCTGCCTCAAAGTCTGAGGCACAGCTACAGCACCAACCCAGGGGCCATCAGCGTGTCCTTCCTTCTCCATCTAAGAGGAGAGCCACTCCTCAGCACTTTACCTCTCCTTACTAAAATGACAAGAAATTGTGAATTCACAGTGTGCAACTCTAACTCTTCAGAGCCCAGATTTCTAGAAATTATTTGTTTTGCAAAGAAATAAAGCTATTGATGTTTTTCCCCAGAGGATCTGATTTCTTCGGACTTGGTTTTTCCTTTCCTCCATTTCTATTCATGAGGGTAATAAGAGCTTTTACTAACTGAGTACATGCATGGACCAAGCACAGTTGTAAGTGCATTCATTACCATATAATTCATTTACGGCCTGTGACTGTGGCCATTCATAAATGGTTTACCTCACTCTGCTCATCAGCATGAAAGCTTTACTTCTGATTTCTCTTCAGTATTATCTTTTCTTTGTCAATTATGAAATCACTTCCTTGTTGCTGGAAATACACATCACATTCCAGGCAAAGCTGTTGCTAAAATCTTTTTTTTTTTTTTCAGTTTTCTGTTTTCCAAAATGGGCAACTTTGAGACAGAGTCTCCCTCTGTCACCCAGGCTGGAGTGCAATGGCACGATCTCAGCTCACTGCAACCTCTGCCTCCCAGGTTCAAGTGATACTTGTGTCTCAGCCTCCCAAGTAGCTGGGATTACAGGTGTGAGACACCATGCCCAGCTAATTTTTGTATTTTAGTAGAGACAGGGTTTTGCCATGGTTGGCCAGGCTTGTCTCAAACTCCTGACCTCAGGTAATCTGCTTGCCTCGGCCTCCCAAAGTGCTGAGATTACAGGCATGAGCCACCACGCCCGGCCTAACATCTTAAAAAGAAATGACAGTTTAAGTACCCATCAGAAGTATTAATTATACCATGGACCAAGAGGTTCAGATTATTCCACCAATGAACCATGGAGAAAGTTAATTGTAATTCTTCTTAGTTCTCCAATTAGAATGTTGAAACAATTCTTCATAAGATGCAGTTGGGTTTGCTTTTATTCACATTCATAGTTTCATCTCCAACCTTTCTCTTCTCTCTGTTACCTCTTAACTTAGGTCCTTATTTGTTCCTGTCTGGACTAGTGCAGTCTGTACAGAAATGGGCTTCACTTCTGTTAGATTAAGTTTGTAAGAATACTGAGGACAGCCTCTGTCATATCATTCCCTTGCACAGAAGGTGGCGAACACATCTGACAGCAATCACTTAAGCATACTCTGAGAATGACCCTATGGTCTAAAAGGAATGTGAGTTTAGAGTTCCCAGCTAAGGAATCTGGGAGTCACCAACCTGGAGATTCATTCCTTATCTCTGAGGAACATCTGAACCTCTGGCCCATCCTGTGGAATACAGGCCATACAGAGGTTTGAGGCCCTTGGTTTTGGGTTAAATGAAGGTTTTATGGAAGAGGTTGCTGGGGGGAGGGTACTAAGTGAAAATGCTACATAAACTACACTTTCTTTTTTTTATAGCAGTGCTCCTGTCTAGCCTGCTGCCAATAGACCCCTGTATGTAAGTTCCCTCAATCAACCCTATGTCTCATTCGCTGACTCTGGGTGTCTTCTTTGGTCTCTTTGAACATGGTGCAGTATCTATTGAGGTCAATAGGGGCCCAGCATGACAGAAGGCTTCAGTAAGTTCTCATTGCTCAAAAAATAAAGTTTAGCCTCCTTAGCAGGAGACTATAATTTTATTTTACAATAGTTCTCTATTTACCCTCCCTGCTGTACTTGTGTCTATACCTGCCTTGGTTCTCCTCTGAACTGTTATTTATAACTTGCTCTGGCTAGATTGTCTTCTCATAAAGGCTCACTCATGGCTCAGAAATCCTAATACACTTACTGATTCTCCTTATCATTTGTCACTGGCCCATCCTAAGCTATCTATGTTAATGTGTTAGCTATAGTAAAAACTCCTGGAGCCAGTGACCCTAACTAATCCTTATCTGTCCTTAGCCTGGAGCTCAGCTTTGTGTGCACATTGTACAACAAAAAATGGGTTAAGAATAAGAGTTGTGTTTTTTTTTTTTTTTTGAGACATGGTCTCTTGCTCTGTTGCCTAGGCTGGAGTGAAGTGGTGCAACCACAGCTCACTGCAGCCTCAACCTCCCAGGCCCAAACTATTCTTCTACCTCAGCTTCCTAAGTAGCTGGGATTACAGGCATGTGCCACCATACCCAACTATTTTCTGTCATTGTTTTTGTAGAGGTGGGATTTCACTATGTTGTCCAGGCTGGTCTTAAACTCCTGGACTCAAGTGATCCTCCTGCCTTGGCCTCCCAAAGTGCTGGCTTTACAGATGTGAGCTACTGTGCCTGGTCAAGAATAAGAGTTTTTAAATCAGATGCACCTGGGTTTCAATCCAGTCTCTCCCAACCCCCACTATCTACTAGATGTATGACTTTGAGTGACTTACCTAACCTCTCTAATGTTTTTTCCTCATCTGGGAATTAGGAATAATAGGTTGTTTGGAGAGTTAAATGAGACAATGTATGTAAAGCACAAAGCATAGCACATTAAATACATGGAATAATATTAATAATAGAGCAACAGTGACAGCATAGCAAGCATACCATAACATTTTGTTAATGAATGTGCAAATAATCAAATGTTAACCAACTTAAATCTTTTCTACTACAGTTAAAGATCATACCCTCAGCAGAGAAAGAAAATTATTCACATTATTGCCCTTTAAACTCTTAATATCAATCCCACCTTGAATGCCTTTTCTTTTGTCATAGGCATTACTTTCTAACTTGTTAAGAAAATGTTACCTGCCCTTTAAACGTATTCCATGTCCTGGATATTTTTCCTTAAGCCACTGAGGGAGTAGTAAGGGTTCATATCATGCATGATTTAACCCCCCTCACAAGTGAAATCAGCATTGTTTCAGACGCTTTACTCACAACCCCTGGCTCAGAGCTGTATTGGCATACTTGATATTAGTCTACTTAATTGGTAACAGGATAAACATTTGTTCAGTATGTGCCGTGTTGGGGGTGCTACATCCATCTATTTTAAATAATTATGTTTATTCTGTTTTCTTATCTAAAAAGTGAGACCTAGTTATGACCTAAACAGACATACTAATACTTCTTTCCAAAAATTTTTTTTCAGCAAACATCATAAAGATGCAATATTCAAGACCATGAAGAAGAACCCAGACAATGGATTATTTCATTTGGAATTTGGATTCCACCTACTGCAGTTGTTACATCTAAGTAGGGGCAATGAAAATCTCATGCTATAGTCTTGAGTGTAGTCAGTAAAAGAGCAAATTCCAAGCCTCCTACGGGGCATTTTCATCCCTCCCCATCTGTCCTTACAGATAAGGAACAGATTCCAGGAATGACTCAGTTACTGGAACCTAAAATTCATTCCCCTTTTCTTTATCTGTCCAAATCCTGTCTTTGGGATCAACTTTCACATGCTTTCTCTCCTTAAAGAGTTTCACCTTGAATTACCTTTCCTTTGTCATATTCCTATCTGGAGTCACACTCTTGAGAACCTTCTATACCTTCGTCGTTCATTTATTAGCAGATATCTATAAAGTTCCTACAGTGTGTCAGGCACTGTGCTATAGTGCAACAATGATGAATGCTGTACACATCCACCTCACCCTTTTATAGTTTATAGTATCATGGGGAGATGGAGAAGTAGACACTCAATAAACACATTTTGTCTGATGGGTATACCTTGAAACAGCAAAAGTAAAGTCTGTTTCATCATAATTTGATCCATTCACATTGATGGGCCAGACCCTGTGCTAGACCTGGGAGACAAAGATGAATTAAACAGAGACTCTGTGCTCAAGAGTTATATAATCTGCATTTGCAGGTTATAACAAACTCTGATCTGCATCTTTGGGCAAAAGCATTCTTCTCTAGGTATCTTAACCATGATCTCAAGTATGTGCTGTGTGTGTTTACTGATGTATCATCAAACGCAGTCTGTAGGGAAAGTAAATGAAATACGAACCAAAGGCGCCAGTCCTTGGAGTGGCGTGGCTTCCTCTGCCTCGTAGAGATAGAAATTCAAAGGAGCAAAGAAGTAGCCAGGGGCTGGTTCAGAGCAGCTACGGCCAGTGACATGTGGGCGGCATTCACACTGCCCATTCTTGGGTGAACACCTGAGGAAAAAGCAATTCATCCTGAAAAAATACAAAGTAGGTGAGTGTAAAATGAAGGTGTATGGGTGCTGGGTTAATGCTCCCTGAGTTTGGAGCAATCCTGAGAGTCAGTCAATCAATAGTCCTGTGGGCAGATGTAGAAAGGCCATGGGTTTAACATAACCGGTCTTGAATAGTGAATCCAGGGTCATGGAGCCCAGGCGGCCACTTTTTTCCCCGCAGTTCTGCTCTAAAATCTGGCAAAAAGGGGGCATTAGGATCTCTCTTTACAGGATGGAAAAAGCTGGTGTTTTAGGCAGGTCACACGTATTCAAGCACCCTTGCCACCAGCTTGTGGTGGGATACCCAGCAGAAGGATTGTTTACCTCACCCTTGGAAATATTTGAAGTGAAATAAATCAAAGGGTTGTAGTTAATGTTTCAAGATCATCGCTTGTCATGGAATGAAATTTTTCACCTATGACTATAAGCATATCAGAATAAAATGTGCTTTTATGTTTAAATAAGGAATATTGCTATAAAACTTACTCATTTGACTTACATGTTAGAATAAGCACCTCCAATATCACAGTCACAGGGAGAACACCCATGGAGATGATTTCCCAGGCCCCAGTATCCAACCTACAGAGAAAACAGGCTCAGCTGATTCCTGCTATGAAGATACTGTTGCTCTGAAGTGCAATATTGAAATCACTACAATGCAATTGCCACACATCAAATAGCCAAACAGCCTGCACCATCTCAGAGAAGCCTTCCTGGCCTATGTGCTTGGCTAGTGATCTCCACAGACACATCTCCCATCTCTAGGATTTGAAGTAAGGGGACAGGGCTGGGTACAGTGGCTCATGCCTGTAATCCCAGCATTTTGGGAGGCCAAGGCAAGTGGATCACTTGAGGCCAACAGTCTGAGACCAGCCTGGCCAACCATAGTGAAACCTCGTCTCTACGAAAAATACAAAAATTGCATGGGTATGGTGGTTCATGCCTGTAGCCCCAGCTACTTGGGAGGCTGAGGAAGGAGAATCGCTTGAACTTTGGAGGCAGAGGCTGCAGTAAGCCGAGATTATGCCACTGCACTCCAGCCTGGGTGATAGAGTGAGACTCCATCTCAAAAAATTTTTTTAAAAATGAAGGGGACAGGAAGGTTGTCCATGTAATGTGTCAAGTGGAAAAGCAATGGAAGCCTTACAATTCCTCTGACATCACCAGTTTATGCTCAAGCTGGGTTATGTATGTCCTATTGGAATAGAAGTTCTTCTACCAGCCTATGTATAACTGCCTTTATCTCCCGTCCCCCCAACCCAGATGGAGTCTTGCTCTTTTGCCCACACTGGAGCACAGTGATACGCTCTTGACCAACCTCTGCCTCCCGGGTTGAAGCAATTCTCCTGCCTCAGCCTCCCAAGTAGCTGGGATTACAGGTGCCCACCACCACGTCCAGCTAATTTTTGTATTTTTAGTAGAGACGGGGTTTCGCTGTGTTAGCCAGGCTGGTCTTGAACTCCTGACCTCATGATCCATCCACCTCAGCCTCCCAAAGTGCTGGGATTACAGGCCTGAGCTACCAGGCTCGGCTATGTAACTGCTTTTAATAAAACTTATAGGTTCCCTTACCACAACAGTCCCTGGGGATTTTACCCATGCAATAGTGAAATGTTTGGAGGCAGAGAAATCATTCAAGTTAATTTTGAGATATTACATGAATATCACACTTTAGCATAGGCATTTGTTTATCAATCAGTTGTTTTGGCATAATAACATGAATCCATGTGAGAGATCAACTCTGTTGTTCCAGACTTTTTCCATCATTGCAACATCTTGACCGTTGTTCAAAATAAACAGCTGGTTAGATACAAATAACTATTTTCTAAGTGTTATAATATTTAGTATAAAATGCTCAAAAAAAGTCTTCTCCAACCAATCTCAATTGAACATGCTCCGATAAAACTTACATTTTAGTAGGTATGAAATTCTCATTGGAAATGGTCTTGTTAAGCATCCATATTTTTTGTATCTTGGTACAATTTTACGCATGATTTTACTCAAAAATATACCTTTTAGATATTAAACATTGATGTCTTTGGACACAATGTGACAAAGAACTTGATGTTTTTCCCCAAACCAAAACTTCAGTTTAAGAAAAAAAAAAAATGATGTGACAAGAACTGCTTCCCACAGGATGTGGTCGTGAAAACTCCCTCTAGGACAGGGATTGCTGCCATGCTGGCCACCTCAGGGCAGATCCACGGTGCCACTGGAGAAATGTGGATATGGAGAACCTGGTGGGTACACGGGCTCAGCCACAATGGACAGTTCCCCCATGGGGGGTCCCTATTCAGTTATTTTACTTGCTTTCCCTGCAAGCAAAAGTGAGTCGATACTGCACATGTAGCAGTTAACCAGCCAGTAAAAAAAGTCAGCCTGAGCCTAAGCTTTGTCTGGAATTACATGATTTGATTGATCACATAATTTCAGGATTTGATGATGCTATAACCAACTGTGCTCCTTTTTTTGTGTCACACACTTACGGTCATGGAGATTGGCATGGCTGACCTTTCTCTTTAAGGTACAATTTTCAGATTTTCTGACTTCTCTTCTAGAATCCCTTCTTCATATTTCCTTCCTTGTTTCTTTCCCCCACCCTGTCTGCCCCATCCTGTTTTCAGTAAAACGACTTAAAATATGAGCACAAAACCATGTCTTCATAGGCATATGTTCCTTATTCATCAGCTACATTTCTTCAGACACATCGAGGTCACTGTTCTTTTATTAGGTTAAGTTTTTGTGTTTTTTTCTTTCTAAAATGTCATGGTGAGCTGCCAAGATTGGAGAACAAAGAAAAGAGTTGGGTTTGAACTCCCCAATTGCATCATGCATTTCTTATGGAGTGAATATGTTTTATTTTACTAATTTTAGATGATACATGCTTGTATGTTTAGTAGAGTCTGTGAAAAATCCAAGAGTTTATTTCCCACAGGAATCTAAAATACATTAAACCTATGTTTGTTTTTTTATAAGACCTTATCCAAAACATTTTTAGGAAGAGCGCGGTAGGGATGATAAGGGGATTGTGTGCAAGGGATAGAAGAAAGTTCTGGTGGCCTAAAACATGGGCAGATAAATATTCTTCTATTCTACTGCTTGGCATTTTCAGGAAAACAGTGGATAAATCTAATAACATCTGTGCCTGGGTCGGTTTAGTCCAGTCCAGTGGTGTGCTGGTAAATGTTTAACAGGCAGCTCAATGCAGGGGTGAGGGGAGGCAGATAGGTAGTGTTTGCTGATTTCTGTAGTGTAAATACTCATACCACTGGAGTACTAAAACACAATAGGAAAAGGAAAGAGATTAGCAAAACCAAGTCTCACCTAGGCAATGGCAATAGAAATCCACATCATTATATAAAAGGGAAATGATAGTCAAATACATACAGTGCATTCTTCGCAGTGTGCTCCGGTGACATATGACAGGCACAAGCATTGGCCTGTATCCACATCACAGGTCAAGAGTGGCAGACTCCCAAGGGAGTTACAGTCGCAGGCTGAAAGCACAGCATACACAGTTATTCTCATTCTTAATTCCTCCGCTCTTGTGAGTGTACTTAGTAGCTCACACAAAGCAAGAAGTATAACGGCAAGAACACAGAGAAGCCTGCCCTGCCAGGTTTATTGTGTGCCTGGCTGGTGATTATTGTATTGCATACAATCTCACAGAGGAAATCCTGTGTCAGACACTTCCAGAGCCTTATGTAGTTTTACTGGATGGCAATTAGGAGGAGACAAGTAGGTGTAGTTAGCTGTACATGCTGCAGTACTGGCACAGTAACCCTGAGTGATGCTGACCAGGCTGGTGACTCAGAGGCAGGAGTTTCTGGGAGACATGGTTATTACTGATGGCTCCTTCTCTGGCAGATGCATCTGGAATCCCGCTCTCTCTTCTCTCCCTTAGTACTTTGTTACTTTTTCTCTTAATGCCCTCCGTCCTTCTTCTCCTTTACCCATAGACATTTCTGAGCCCTTCATATGTTGTAAAGGCTAAGAAGACATGCTACCAGAGCAAGGAATACACTTGCAGCAAATACCAACGTTCATGGAAATAACCCAAATGTCCCATTGACTAATGAATGGATAAATAAAAGTGGCACTTCTGTACAACAGTATGTTATTTAGTAATAAAAAATAAAGACTGATGTAATCAGTAATATGGATAAAACTTGAAAATACTGCTAACTATACCATCTTAACCATTTTAAGCAGGCAGTTCAATTGCGTTAAGTACATTAACATCGTTGCATAAACAAGCTCCAGAACGTTTTTCATCCTGCAAAACTGAAACTCTATGCCCTTTATATAATAACTCCCCACTCCTATTCCCCTCTAAGCCCTAGCAACCACCATGCTGCTTTCTGTCTGATTTTGACTACTCTGGGTACCTCATATAAGTGGAATCATATAGTCTTTGTCTTTTTGTGACTGCCTTCTTTTACTTTGCATAATGTCCTTAAAGATCATCCATGTTGAAGGATGTGTCAGAATTTTTTTCCTTTTTAAGGAAGAATAATATTCCATTGTATGTAAACACCATATTTTGCTTATCCACTCACCCATCAGTGGATACTTGGGTTACTTCCACCTTTTGGTTAGTGTTGCTATGAATGTGGAAATACAAATATCCCTTCAAAGGTCTGCTTTCAATTATTTTGGGTATATACCCAGAAGAGGGGTTTCTTTTGTGGGCGGATGAAAATGTTATAAAATCGACACAACTTCCAATATACTAAAAATTATTGAATTGCTTACAGGGTGAATTGTATGGTATGTAAATTATATTCAATAAAGCTATTATGGGCTGGGCACAGTGGCTTATGTCTAGAATCCCAGCACTTTGAGAAGGTGAGGCAGAAAGATTGCTTGGGATCTGTTCAAGACCAGCCTAGGCAACATAGTGAGACTCCATCTCTTAAAAACAAAAAATTAGATGGCTGTGGTGGCACATGCTTATACTCCTAGCTACTTGGATGCTGAGGTGGGAAAGTTGCTTGAGCCCAGGAGTTTAAGGCTGCAGTGAGTATGATTATGCCACTGTAAGCCAGCCTTAATGACAAAACAAGACTCTGTCTCTCCCCCCAACTAAAAAAAAAAAATTTAAAGCTGCTATACACCCACACACACCAAAATAATGTTCAACTTGTTCTTGGAGGACATCAGTTTAGTCAGAGAGTCAGAGAAACATGTGGAATGCTGAAAGGTATGATGGGAAATTGGTTTGATATATAATTCATTATCATGACATTTAATTTTTCCATCAAACCCAAGAAGAGCATTTTATTACAGAAAGATTCAGCCCAATGTTCTCTAAATATGCAAATAATCCACAGTTCCATATATGGGCAAAAATATGGAGCAGGAGGCTGTCACCAAATGGAAATTATTTACCCAGGGTTCCTGATGAATCTGTAGCCCTACAGAGGCCTGGAGCAGTTCTAAATTTCTGTGATCCTATAGCTGAGGGTTGGCTCATTTGGCCTCAGAAAACTGCTGAGGTTTTCTTCTATTTCCACTCCCCGCCTTCCCTGAGCTCTTTACTTTTTTTTTCTTTATCAGAGAACATATGGATCAATATTAGAAGGGGTGTGAGAAGAAAGTGGAAACATAATTTAATAAATGAAAAGAGGCTGGGCGCGGTGGCTCACACCTGTAATCCCAGCACTTTGGGAGGCCGAGACGGGCGGATCACAAGGTCAGGAGATCGAGACCATCCTGGCTAACAAGGTGAAACCCTGTCTCTACTAAAAATACAAAAAATTAGCTGGGTGTGGTGGCGGGCGCCTGTAGTCCCAGCTACTCGGGAGGCTGAGGCAGGAGAATGGCATGAACCCGGGAGGCGGAGTGCAGTGCAGAGCTGAAAGCACGCCACTGCACTCCAGCCTAGGAGACAGAGCAAGACTCCATCTAAAAAAAAATTAAAAAATAAAAAGTTCTCCACTAACTGCTTGGAATTTACGGGAACCAATATGTTACTTTTTAAAACCCAGAGGTTGGCAGGATTCTTAGGTATTCATGATCATCAATTTTTAGGGCAGACAGAGACAGCCCCAAGCTTTAAAACACATAGGGGCCAAGGTGGGCAGATCACTTGAGGTCAGGAGTTTGAAACCAGCCTGGCCAACATGGTGAAATCCCGTCTCTATTAAAAATACAAAAATTATCTGGGCATGGTGGTGGACGCCTGTAATCCCAGCTACTCGGGAGGCTGAGGCAGGAGAATTGCTTGAACCTAGGAGGTGGAGGTTGGAGTGAGCCGAGATTTTACCATTGCACTCCAGCCTGGGCGACAGAGCAAGACTCCATCTCAAAAACCAACCAACCAACCAACCAACCAACCAGCCAACCAACCACACAGAGGTTGATGGATGCTCGCCCCATCGCCCACCGTGGACTTACGCTGGCAGCCCAAGGGGTCAGTGGCACTCAGTCCGTAGTGGTTGGGCTTGCACTGGTCGCATTTGGCTCCTTCCACGTTTTCTTTACAAAGGCACTGGCCGGCCACAGACCCTAAGGCAGGATCAGAGTGGCTCACACAAATACCACCAGATATGGTCCCATCAGGGTCACATTCACAAGCTGGGGACACAGACATTCATTATTTTAGTTAATTGCAAATTGTGGGAAGCCTGAAATATAAGCACAGCATTTTACTGATGCTATAACTATCTCGCTTTGTTTAAATAATTAAATGTTTAAATAATTAGACCACTTGGCAAGAGCTATTCAGAAATGTCTCCCAGATCTCTAGCCTTGGAAAACTTTGAATAAATCCATACATATATTTTTAAAAGACTTTTAAATGGTTCGAAAGTCAGAGGACCAGAGGAAGACTGTTGTTATGACAATTAAGACTAGATTATGTTAAGAATAGATTGATTCTTCTGGGGATGATGAGAACGTTTTGGAATTAGGTAGATGTGATGGCTGCACAACATTGTGCCGGGAACTGCTGTTCATTTAAAAATGGTTAATATGTTATGTGAATTTCATCTAAAAATAGATTTTAAAAAAGACTCTAAAGGTGAAAATAAGGTCAAAATCTCTGAAACCTGGTTAAAAAGTAAGTCTCTCCTCTATCACAGAAAAATATGTCACAAGGAAAAGTGACATTCTATTTTATTTTCCTTGGAAGAAACACCTGTAAGAAGGAAAGGAAAGGAATAGCGAGAAGTATTCATATCCTTGGTTTTGTTGGGGGAAATCTGCTGACAGGTCAAGAGCTTGATGGAAGAGATTCTGGAAAATGGGATAAACAGTCACTTGTAGCAAAGGAGCCATAAAGGTAGCAACCTTTTTTCTGTTGTTGTTGCTGTAGACATTTGAACAACTCAAGGATGGGGTGTCATATGAAAAAGAATGTTGACAGTTTGAATTAATTCTAGAGGGTAGAACCAGGAGAGAGTAGAAGTCACAAAAGGTAGCACTTGGTTGAGTTTAAGGAAGAACTCTCTAGTAGTTAAGGCTGTCCAATACTGCAGTGAACCCCTCATCATCGGAGGTGTCCAGGTAGATGTTGAAACAGCACTTGTGGCTTTGGTATGGATGACAAATGTGTTGTTGGGCATTAGATGACCACCAAGGTCTCTTGTACCTTTGTGGTTCTGTGTTTCCATGGGCTTCCACTTTTAAGGAGATCAATAAAAATTAAAAATATGAATATCCTGATTTTAAGGAACAGTCACATTCACATTTATACATGCTTCCTTTGGATTACTAAAAACAAAAAGGTCAAGTCTAAAACCATGTCTATATGACCACCATTTAGGTTAGTGAGTTTAATGGAAACAATTCAGTCAAACCAGTTGTTTCACATTATTGAAGCAACCCATGTTTGCTCTCTGACGCAATCTTTCACATTTTAATCATTTGTTGTTTGTTATTGTTTTGTGACTGGTGACTTACTATGAAAAAATAGCATTGAGTTCTGTTTAGTTTGCAAAAACCACAATTTTCTTCTAATTAAAGCCAGTTGCTTCTAGAAAGAAGGGAACAAACTAGATTCATCTTAGAAGTGGCCAAAAGGAAAAAGCTAAAATTTCTTTGGGAGACACTCCAAAGAATCAGTATTGAGTTCCAGAGAATAATTTAATTATGCACAGAAGTATCCTTTGGGAAAGAGATGTGGGAGGGTAGACAGTAAACGTTCTTCGAAACAGCCTATGTCATGACCTTTAGAAGTCTAATTAAATGTCTTGGTGTCACACAATTCTAGCAAACTTTTATTATCAGCAGTTGAGTCTACCAAATCTTGCTTTTCTGTATCAAACTTAATGGCATCTTAATTGTAGAAAACTTAAAATTAGTCAACTCTTATGCCTGGAATCTGCTTATGTAAATATTTAGGTTCGAACGAGGACAACTTAGAGAAAATTTATATGAGAATGCTAATCAATCTTCAAATACACATCGTTTGTATATATACACACAAACATTTGTTTAGGTAAACTAGGAGAAACCGGGGTGTCTCATGATAGTAGTTGGTTACAAACTCCTCATCTACCTTTTATGGAAAAATTCCTTGTTTACAAAGAATGACTTCTTAGTTTCATATCAGGAGTACTAGTTTTCTTTCCAAAGCACTATCAAATTAATACTCAGTGGTTCTTAAGGAACAAGACTTTGATTGATGTGCTCAAAATATTTGGTTTATTATTTCCAAATCTCTTTCCAGATTCCTAGATAACCTGTTTCAATAATTGTATTTCCCTGATTCTACCCAAGAGAGCAATTTAATCTTCTTTTATAAATACATAGCTTTTAAAACAATAACAGTTATGTGTGTGCATGATTACAGATTGTGGTAAAAACTGTAGGATACTTAGGAAATTGCTCTAAAGAAATAAACTTTCTGATAATCTAGTTCTTTATATCAATTTTGAACACATCATGTAGGTAAATTTTATACAGTCAGGTGCCTACTGAGTAATCCAAGCCAAAATACTTCATTGATGCATTTTCTATATTGTGATCACTTAAAGTTTGAAATCTAAGACATTGAATGTATTCAGATGGCTACTGAATTACACTGTATAAGACTTCATTTTATGTATTATTATTATATGAAAGTTGAAGTTAGATTTTACAGCAGCTTCCCTGCCCTCACTTTAGCATTATTTGGATATACCCTAAGAAGTGGAATCCCTGAGTATTGGGAGAGGCAATCCTCAATGGGTGCTGGTATCCTGAACGTTCTTGCTAAGTGTGCCAGCCGTGCAAGGCCCCACTGGCTCTTTATCTAGCCATTTCTTAGAGTTGTGCTTGCAGCAAGCAACCTTGAGGGATGGAGTGGCATCTTCCCCTGCATAAAAAATAGGCTTGCTTCCACTTGCTATAAAGCAATGAATCCTCCAAGTTCAGTGTTCCTCAGCTGCATCATAAACTCACTAGATGTGTACTATTCACATGGTATCTTTGTGTCACTCCCATGGGACATGGGGACATGGAAACTCAGGCCAATACAATGATCTTGTTGCTTGCTATGCCATGAGTTACAAAGTCTTTTGTATTTGGCCCAAGAGTTTTGTGTCTTCTGTTATCCATGAAACAACAACAGGCCAACTTGTTAGTCTGCAAGTAGAGTAAGATTTCAGATCCAGTTACTGACACTGGGTATTTGAAATCAGGTTGGAGTATTTCTGTAGGCAAAAATGTGTAGCAGTGATGGGACGAGAGTGAGCAAGCAAGGTGGCTGGGGTGCAACATTTAAAGAGGTACCCATTCTCAGATTTGTGCAAGCAGCAAGTGTTAGCCCTGCACTTCCATCACCCTGATAGTGAGTTCTTCCTTACATTTTGGAACTTAAGTGCCTTCCTTGGCTCACTCTAGTCCCAGTCCTGCAGGAAAATGCAAATTAAAACAATGATGAGATACCATTTGATTAGTGAAAATTAAAGTGTGATAAAACCAAGAAAGCAAAAATTGAAGTTTGACAAAATCAAATGTTGGCAAGGATGTAGAGCCCCAGGAACTCCCATTTACTATGGTGTGAGTGGCCAATGGCATATTCACTTAGGGGACCATGTGGTGTTATTTAATCAATTTGAAGTCCATACTCCATGGCCCAGAAATTCCACTGCTAGGTATATCTCCTAGGGACAAAGTTTGCATAGATGCACAAGGTCACATACGCAAGAATGTTTACTGCAGCATCCAAAGAAAAGTGAACAAATAAGTTTTGTCATACTTAAAGGAAAAAATTCTATAAGAAATTAAAATGGAAGAACTAAGGCTACCTAATATGGAAAAGTCTCAAAAATATAATATTGAATGAAATACCCAAGTTGCTGAAAGACACATACAAAATGACATCATCTATCTAAACTTTGAAAACATGTCAACATATATTGTTCGTAGATAAAAACACATGTGAAAGTGTGAAAAAAAATCATGATAATGCAAAATATATGCATTTACCCCTAGCAAGGAGGGTAGACAAACGGGACAGTTGTGTACCTGAGACATCGATATAGTGCCTGTCATGTTTTATTAAAGAAAGTCCTGAGAGTGACAGGCTAAGACTGTTTTAGAGAAAGCTGATGGTGGGGTATAAACGTGTCTAATATATTATTCTCTATTATTTTGTACATGCTTGAAATATTTCATTTAAGAAGTTGAGATTCAAGATAAAAGGTTTTTAAAGGTTTTTAAAAAGCGCAAGTAACATGTTAGCTTATGCATCTTAACAGCAAAATTGAAGTGTCTACAGCCAGTCGAATGTTTTAGCCAATTTTACCACTTTGGTTCCTTCCCCAGCAGGCTTCCATGATACTCAAGGTGTCTGCCTCTCCTCGTGGAATCCTACATAATTTCCTAACTGCCAGGACAGACACAGATTATTTGGATCAACTTGTTTGCAGAAGGACAAGCTCTTAAAGCAGAGGTATTTTTGCAATCCTCCACTCCCCAAAATAGGGTAGTCTGGAGATGCCGTTAAGCAGAGGGGGCGCGGGCAGCCCCAGTAAGATCAAACTGAACTTGGCTCAGACAGCAGGTAGGATCCAGGCAGGGCCCAGGGACTCACGAATGCACGCGTAGGGATCCGAGATGGTCTTGAGGGGGTCCCTGTAGAAGAGGGGCCTGCAGCGGTCGCAGTGCTGCCCCTCAGTGTTGTGCTGGCAGTCTTCACACACGCCCCCGCTGAGGCCACCGCTTGCCAGGTACATAGTCATGTTGAAGTGACAGCGGCTGGAGTGGCTGTAACAGCTGCACGCTGAGAGGAGAAGAAAGTGACTGAGAGGTGGACCAAGGCCTCGGGTGGCACAGCCAGCACCTCCGCACTGGTCAGGGCACCCGCTGGTCCTCCGCGTCCTCCTGCCACTTTGTGTTCTTTGTATAGATGTACCAAGAAAACAAAGGGAGAAAATGTGTGCTCTCAGGGGATCTTTCTAGTACTCTGATTCTGCTCCAACGCTTTCTATAAAATGTGCTCCCGATACGTTAAATATGTAGTTTTTAAAAATCAAGTGAACAAAAGTAAATCATTTCGGTGATCTAAAGTCACAGAGTACAATATTTGTGGTATTCATTAAAGGATGCTTTTACTGACTTATGCTTTGTGCAACTGACATTTTTACATGAAATGTTCTGCATGCTCTGGGATTCCTAGAGAAGACGGCAAAGCTCAATCGGCCCCGCCTCTCCACATAAGCAGGGAGCTGCAAGGGCTGCGGTCAATTTTATCTCATCTGAGGCTGGGCCAGAGGCCTGGAGGGAAAGGCAGTCTGTTTGGAGGAATTTGTCTTCATGGTAATGTCTACACTGTTTGTCTTTTTGGTTCTTTTCCTGTAAACAGTCTAAGGTCAGGCTGCATTTTCCTGGGTCTTGTATACTGTGACTCTCATGGATGAGGCTTTTTTATTAGAGCTCTTCTAGGGACATTTCATTCCCTCAAATTGTTTTTCCTAGTCTGGGAAAAGAAATTGAATAACAAATTAGTTTGGAAGTTCATTAAAATTCAGAGGCAGCAAACATGTTAGCCAAAACAAAACCAGCATCTTATTAGCCTGAATATTTTATTTAAAACAATACAATAGCCTGTCAAACTCAATACTGGGCCTCATTTCTCCTATTATCCTACAGATGGGTTTAAGGTCACGCTCATGGAATGTATGACTATTCAGGATGACAGTACAGATTTCTGAACCAAATCTAGTGTTCACCAAATTCTTGGAGTTGCCTTGTCCCTGCTGATATTGCCATTACCTGGCTCCGTACCTCTACTGGAAGGGTGCCACACAACATGCTTACTGTTTCATTTTTAAAATTAAACAATTTGTGGTGTGAGGATTGGAGAAGTTGGCAATTCTTCTATGTGAGATAATTGGGAACATCGGGATATCACACTATAGGAGCTGGGAGGACAGCCTCACCACTTTGGTGCCTGCAGCCCCACAGAAATGAACGAAGTGTTTCTCAAAATAAGGAAACTTAGAGCACACTCAGTCTATGCAGGGAACTGAGTTTCACCCACATCTGCAAGCATTGTCCTGGAGGTCTGCAGCTGGCCTCCAAGGAGCATCCTGGAAGAAGTCCTTGCATCTCTCACAGTTTGGACCATCTGTATTGTGCTGACAGACACACTGACCGTGAACCTGCATTGTGCAATAAATAGAGCATTAAAAGAGGGCTTGTCCTTGGGGACGTTGGGGTTCTTTAAATGGGAAATGAAATACCAGGTCCTGGTACCTCTCTGATCCTTAGTTTCCCGTATGTTAATTACAATACTGACCTTGACTATCTTCTATTATTTTCTTAACTAGTTTTAAACTTTATAAAAATTTAAAAAGTTCAGTGAATTTCTAAAATACAATACTGTTTTTTGGCTTTTCTAAGTTCTAGTTTCAGGGCAGCACATTGCAGCCCTCAATAAAGTGAGGGACAGGATGGCTAAGGGGTTTGTGTGGAGTTGTGGGGGAGTGGTATATGGGATTGTTTAGGAGCATAAGAAAAAAGAGGGAGTTAGAAAAGGGAATGAAGCTGAAGAAAGCCATGTGATTCTCCTGGATTTTCCCAAAATGCTCTAAATGACCCACATGCAGAGAGAGAAGTTCTGTTTCCAGTGAATGGGAAACAGTGTAGCTGAATGGGAAGTCACACTAGCTGAACATTAAGCCTTGTGTGAATATGCCTAATAAACAGTTGACATTTATTTAGAAGACACACTCCATGGGACTCTGCATAAAACTACAACTCTTCTACAATAAGTGCCCCAGATGAGAGAGATCTGCAGTATTAAGACACAGCCATTCCCAGTGTAAGAATGCTACTTGGATTGAACATTTTACAACATCAGATATTGCTGAAATACCTTAGCATTGACTACAGGGTCTTGCACACAGAAGTCCTTCAGTAGATTTTTGTAAGAGAATGAATGTGAAATTATTAGGTTGGTGCAACAGTAATTTCAGATTTTGCAATTAAAAGTGGTAGCAAAAACAGCATTTTTGCACCAACCCAATATGATCCCTCTCCACCAAATCTGCATGCTCTACAAAACAAATGAAAAGAGGGCAAGATGAAGTATCTTGAAATCCTAAAGTATAAATTCTGCTCACTAGTTCAATGATGTCCATATGCCGCAGAATCCACAAGCACCTGTGACTGGAGGAACTGGAGGGTCCTAGGTGGCCTATTAGGATAGGCTGAATGGCACCCACGTAAGCATAAAACTGGCACTTAGATTTGTTGATCTCCATGTGGAGTGCCTCATCTACATTCAGCACCAGGACAGTGAAAGGCAGGTAGGACAGCCCACTGTTCTTTCGGATTAATAACTCACCATTCCAGGAGGGCTGAAAACATCTCCCCGCACCTTCTGCATAGGGCGACATTCGCTAGCATGGCCATTGCAAAAGCAGCTTCCCCGAACAACCATCTCGTACAGAGCATAGTAGTATTTATCAAGGGAATCATTTTGCCTCCTTCCAAGCAAAGTATCCCCAAGGGTGTGGAGCTTGGTAAAGTTTATCCTCAGGTTTGTCAATGTCACAAGGTCTAAAGAAAGGAAAATAATGAATCAAAGTGAATTTGAGGCGCATCAGTTCAAGGGACTCTTCTTGACTGATATACCCTTAATATACTATAGAAAAGCGATTATAGGCCCAGTGTGGTGGCTCGCGCCTGTAATCCCAGCACTTTGGGTGGTCGAGGCAGGAGGATCCCTTGAGCTCAAGAGTTCAAGACCAGACTGGGCAACATGGTGACATGCCGTCTCTACATAAAATACAAACATTAGCCTGGCAGGGTGGCACATGCCTGTAATCCCAGCTACTTGGGAGGCCGAGGCACAAGAATTGCTTGAACCCAGGAGGCGGAGGTTGCAGAGAGCTGAGATCACACCACTGCACTCCAGCCTGGATGATAGAGCAAGACTCCGTCTCAAGAAAAAAAAAAAGAAAGCAATTACAAGGAATATGCCAAACTTGAAATTTTTTTAAAGCTGATATGAAAAATATAAAGGAATTCATACCTCGGATGTAGGGGCTATAAGGGTTTTCAATTTCAAAACTGGGATCCAAAACTTTCAAAACAACCTGTAAAACAAATATAGATAAATTTATAGTATATTACCCGAAAATGTAATTGTCAAACACACTTTTTTTTTAAACCTCCGAGGCTCAAGCAATCTTACTACTTCAGCTTCCCAAGTAGCTGAGACCACTGGCATGTACCACCACGCCCAGCTAATTTTTAAAGTTTTTTGTAGAGGTGGGGTTCTCCCTATGTTGCCCAGGCTGGTCTCGAACTCCCAGGCTCAAGTGATCCTCCTGCCTCAGCCTCCTAAAGTGCTGGAATTACAGATGTGAGCCATCACACCTGACTGTGAAATGCACTTTTATGGAATAGACCCTGATCTTACAAGAAGGCTGAGCTATTGCTTCCCAGCTGGCATAGAATACAGATTATCATTTGGGTTACCATATGAATAGAGGTACCAAGAGCAGAAATAAATGAAAGGTATTAATCAGTCATTTCTAGCTTTTTATGTACAAGTGGTTCATACAGGCAGAAAAAGCAAAGAGAACACTTATGCTGGATTGGGATGGAGTGATGGACAATTTGGCAAGCCATGATCAATTTGGATTTGGTGGGGAATTCTGGAGCTGTCTTCTGCCACTAATTCTTTCTGCTATACCTGATAAAATAGTACCTGTTCAATCCCACCCACTCCAACCTTCTGCCAGGCACCAGCTTTGCTCAGAGGGTTGTTCCTGGCAGATTCCCCTGGGGTGCTGGTTTACAGAGCACGGGGATGAGATAGCTAATGCCAGGCTGCAGCTAGCTTACATGGCTTCTCTGCAAGCTTTAGAAATGGGTGTTCCTTCTTCTGGGTGCCTGGAGCCATGGTGCCCCATTTAAGTTTTATCCCACTCCCACCTTCAGCTGAGCACTCTTGTGCAGGATTGCTTCTAAAAACGTATTTAGTATTTATTTGGGACTCATTTCAATTTAGACACTTTCATTTTTAAAAAAGCAACAGCCCAAATTATGTTGCAGTAAACACTATCAAAATTTTTTCATTTAATTACACTTTTTAAAAGTTTAATTTATATAAAATAAATACAAGGAAGGAAATGCTACCTCTCCACCTGTTGAGGGTTCAATATCCGAGTATTTGGAGTCACAAACAATGTCTCCCACTCCCTGGGCCTGGCCAGATGTGATGTTAGGAAAGGAAGTGGCACAGTCTTTTGCAAAATATTTGAACACTTTCCAGGTGTGTCCATAGTCTGTGGAACGTTCAACTAACATTGCAGCAGGCCGAAAAGTCTAGGAAAAATGAGTAAGTTGGCACATTTCACAAAGGCAGATTTTATTATCGACTTCAGATTGAATATTTATATTTTCTAATTCCATTTTTAAAAACTTTAGGTGTATCTTTTTGTTGTTTGTTTTGTTTTTGAGATAGGATCTCACTCTGTCACCCAGGCTGGAGTGCAGTGGTATGATCTCGGTTCACTGTAGCCTCAACTTCCCAGGCCCAGGTGATCCTCCCATCTCAGTCTCCCGAGTAGCTGGGACTACAGGTGCATGCCACCATGCCCAGATAATTTTTTTGCAGAGTCAGAGTTTGCCATGTTGCCCAGGCTGTTCTCAAACTCCTGGGCTCAAATGCCCACCTCAGCCTCCCAAAATGCTGGGATTACAGGTGTGAGTCACTGTTCCTGGCCGGGTCTATCTTTTAAAATCTACTACACAATACACACACCACAGTCTCTTTTCAGTATTTATGAGTACACACTTTGTCCTCATAATCTAATTACATTATAAAAATGTTTATGGCATTGTGAATTATTAATGAAGAAAGATGGCTTATAAATTGAAAAGTTAATGTAGTTAATACTTTACAGCAATTTGTTGTGATTCTCTTTGCCAAGCATGCTTTTCCTCTGGCAAACTCTTATACATCCTTCAAACCTATCCATGAAGTTTATCCTGGTTCCCCACAGCAGATTTAGCCCCTTAAATTTCCCAGCATTTTAAATCAATCATACTGCTAATTCCGTACTTATCACTTTGCATTATAATTTTCTATTATATTTATATGTTTGTATCTATGACTAGATTGGGAGTTATTTGGAGACAAAGACTGGTGGGTTTTTTTTTCATTTTTTAAATTTCATATTCATTTTTTCTTACCAAAACGAGCATAAAGTCTGACATCAAAATTAGAGTTTTCCTGAATGATTAAAGAAGCACTATAGCACAATGATTTTCTCTGGCATCTGACTCACCTTAGTAAAGACTCTTTTTTCCTTCCCCTTGATCACAACCTTTCCATATTTACCTGAATAAGTTCCAGTTCCTGCCCTTTTCTCCCAAAAATTATCTTTATAGGTTTTGTGGTTCCTATCACCTCAGTACTGGGAGTTTTCCTTTTCTCTGTGTCTCCTAATTTTTAAAAAAATCATATAGTCGTGGCCATTGATTTTTCAAAAGTGTTTGTTTTTCTTCATGTAAGAGTCAAAGCTCAGGTGGCAAAGGTCAAGTCTGAACTTATTCTGTTTTTGTTCACTGCAAGGAAGCAAGGCAGTGAAATTCCAGATAAACACTGAGCATTTGGGGAATAGATAAAAGAGGGGCAGCAGGCCTATTCATCTGTACCTTAAAGGTCAAGATAAGGTGGCTGAACCGAAATAATGCCTCTAAGTCCAGTGTGATGCTGACATGATCAAGACCTAAGGAAGAATCCAGAAAGAAGAGTATCAGTGAATTTGAGAGACTCCTGTTTATCATGTTAATTCCCCACTGTGGCTTATCTGTAATAAAATCTCTTTGATGCCACAAGGCTGATGATCACTTTCCCCGTCTGTTGGAGTGGTATCCCATGCCACTCCAAGCCCAGGAGGTGTGGAGGGCAGGATACGTTTCACCCTGATGGTGCCCACATCTGTGTTTTAGTGGCAACACACATGGCCACTATGTGGCAGCATTACATATAACCAAGGGAGTTTCAGGACATTTGCCCTAGGTGGAAAGAGAGAAAGAGAGGTTTCATTTCCTTGTACTAAAATCTTGACTACACATAAACATGAGCTAGCTAGCCAGAGGATGGTAAAAAACAATGTACCCGTTTCTTCCAAGAGTTGCTAAAAGTCATTTGAACTAGAATTTCATTGTCACCTGGCATATAACACAACTTGGAATATTCCCCTTGGATTGGGGACCTGTGGGCTCTTCTGTGGCTGAAGTGGTGGCAGAGGTACCCTGGTCAGGGTTTTACACCGAGCTAGTTATGATCCATCTCTAGCACAGATGTGGGGTATCACTCCTAACCTAGACACAAAAGCAACCCAGATCTCTCTAGAGCAGCACTGTCCAACAGAAATAGAATATGACTCATGTATGTAATTTAAAATTTTCTAATAGCCACATTAAAAAAAGTAAAAAGAAACAGATAAATTTGTTTGTAATAATATACTTAAACCAACATATTTAAAAGTTACTTTGACATATAATCAATATTTTAAATATTAGTGATTTTTTAAAGACAGAGTCTCGCTCTGTCCCCCAGGCTGGAGTGCAGTGGCAGGATCTTGGCTTACTGCAACCTCTGCCTCCCAGGTCAAGGGATTCTACTGCCTCAGCCTCCCGAGTAGCTGGGACTACAGCCTTGCTCCACCATGCCTGGCTAATTTTCATATTTTTAGTAGAGACAGGGTTTTGCCATGTTGACCAGGCTGGTCTCAAACTCCTGAGCTCAAGTGATCTTCCTATCTTGGCCTCCTAAAGTGTTCGGATTACAGGTATGAGCCACCGCACCCTGCCAGAAAATCAGTGATTCTTTATTATACATTTTCTCCCAAACTATGTCTTAGAAATCTGGGATGTTTTTACACTTCCAGCCCATCTCAGTTTGGATTAGACATGTTTCAAGTGCTCACACTGGACAGTATGGCTCCAGACGACAGTGGCTGGACTACAGTGAATCGGGGTTCAGCCTAGAGTTCTAGGGTGAAAAGCTTAGGGACGTGTTTGCTGCTAAGTGGGCAGCCACATTGCAGGCTGAGTGTCAAGGGTCCTAACTCTTTCTAGAAAGGAGATCTGTCCTTCTCTCTAAGGTGCTTGGTTGAGAATCCTTGCCCTATGTCATTGGCTTGGACAGAATGACATTCCCTTTGTGAGGAGATGTGGAACAAGTGTTAGATGTGGGGGTCAAAACAGCCATTAAGCAAAAATGGCACCATTCATCAGGAGGACAGGTGGCTGTGGAAAAAAACACCCACATTCATTAAGGAGAGTCCAGTTGGAGATCAATAACTAGGATCCAAAATGAAATGGCGTTTAGTAGACACCAGTCAATCATTGGTCAAGTGGATGACATAAATAAAACAGCCTCATATTATGCTTGCCCTAAACTATCTTATATATTATTATTATTCCCACACTCACTTCTAATGGTCTAAAATCTCCTAAAGGAAATACATTCAGGAATTTGTAGAGAATAGAGGAATTATAGTCCAAAGGGCAACACATATCAACGTAGTGAATGAAATCGTTTTGTGCGGGTTAAGGAAAACTGAAGAGTTCCAGGCTAGTGTTAAAGAGGGGTCATCAAGAGTAGGCAAGCCTGCATCAGGAAAGTCAGGCCTGGATGGATGTACATGTGGGCACATGAGGCCCATGGCTGGGGTGGGACATGAGGATCCCTGATCAGGTCCACATTTATAGTGAGCATCTAGGAATCCAGATGGTCAGTGCCAATGTAGGCTCAATATCACAATTGTTCACAAAGAGAGAAAGGCATACATCCAGGAAGGAAAGAACTTCAGTCCGTAGCCAGCTATCCTTTCAATTCAGATATTTTACTTTGGCTTACAGTAAGAAGCAAAATGTTCTTTTTCTCTTTCCCTTCGGGTGTTGAAGGAAAAAGCACTTGGCGCTAACTCTCAGACTTCCCCTGGCATTATTCACTCGGTTTACATCAGTGTGTTTTGTATTAGGTTTAATTTACCAACACTTCATAAACTTTCTTCTTCGTATTATTTTTTTACAAAGAACAGAAGGATGCAGAGATATTTTCTTCCACATGGAAAGAGTGAAACATTCTGAGTTATGTGCTTAAAATATACTTTGATATTCCTGTAAAGGAAAGTATTCTTGTTAAAATGAAAATAAATTGTGTTCTTGTAAGGGTCTCTATATTCTTAGAGGATACTGTTCCATTCCAATATAATACTTTGCTGTGACATTATTAAAACCATACAAGGAAGAGGATATCATATTAAAATATCAAAGAAATAAACAACTGGAAAAAAACTTAAATCATACCATTTTCAGACTGCCACCATTTCTTTTCTCTGTCTGGTTCAAAACTTACAATGACATTCTCAATGGTGTGGCTATTGGGTTGGGCGTATGGATCATATGGAAATCTAGAGTCACAGATGAAGCATTTTTGTTCCCCCTGGAAAACACCATCATTAAAATTAAAAATAAGAGTTGGAATTACTTATTGTTCTTCTAAATTAAAGGCAAGCTGTACTTACTATATTTGTCTTCCAAACTGGCTAAAAATAAAAAGCAGAGGAAATAACAAGACATCAAAATTCCTATCAATAGGTGCCAAAGTACAACAATAAACTATGAATTAAAATTTTAGAAATTGATACATTTGGAATAAAAATGTAAATTTATGCAAAACTCATTTTCTGTCATATAAGAGGCAGAGGACCTGGAAGTTATTTTAAACTGCCACAACTAATATTAAGAAATAAAAAATTAGAAATAGACCTCTTAGAAGGTCTTAGTGAATTGGAACTAGTTTTGCTTAGGATTTTTTTTGTTTTTTTTTTTGTTTTTGAGACAGAGTCTCACTCTGTCACTAAGACTGGAGAGCAGTGTTGTAATCTCCTGAGTTCAAGAGATTCTCGTGCCTCAGTCTCTCGAGGAGCTAGGATTACAGGCATGCACCACCACACCCGGTTATTTTTTTGTATTTTTATTAGAGACAGGGTTTCACCATGTTGTTCAGGCTGGGTGTTGAACTCTTGGCCTTAAGTGATCTGCCTGCCTTGGCCTCCCAAAGTGCTGGGATTACAGGTGTGAGCCACCACCCCCGGCCTGCTTAGGATGGATTTTTGAAGGTTACAACGCAAAGCCTGGCCTTTGAGTTTGCTTAATTTAATGCGTCTACTTGCAGCTGTACTTGAAACTCCTAAGGGGCTCTACAAGGATTTCCAAAGCACTGTCAGTGGCCTGCAGTTATTCCTGGCTAATACTCAGGGAACTCTGAAGGAGCTCTTTTGCAAAGCTTCTGGGAAGCCGAGGCTGGTCATTATAACCTTCTGTGCCGAAAATTGCCTACAACAGCATAGGCGCTCAGCTGGTGGCACTCAGTGCACGTTACATGTATGTCCTAACCATGGCTCACAAGGCCCAACATGATCTGGCCAGGGCCACTTCTTTGCCTTTGTGTCTACTTGGCTTTTCACTCCCTTGACTCTGGCTACACGTGCTTCTTGCTGTTTTTTAAGCACTTAGAGTCAGAAGAGTTCAAGCTGTTCTTCCTCCCAGCTAGTCTTATCTCTTGCTCCTTCCCTTCTTTCAGGTTTCTGATTAAATACCTTCATTTCAAAGAAACATTCCCTGACTACCCTATCTAAAATGTCACCATCTTTTCACCCCCATGGCCCTCTGCCACTCTCTATTTTTTATCCTACTTTATATATTTCCTAAGCCCTTATCACTACTTGAGGCTATATTATACAGTTGTTGGTTTATTGTCTATCTCCATAATAAGAATCAAAACTGAATGAGGCAAGGACTTGGTTTTGTTTACTGCTGTATCCCCATTGCCTAGAATAGTGTGTGGTACATAGTAGATGTTCAGTAAAATTTATTAAATGCAGGATGATTTTAATGATTATTTCAGTTACCATCTGTCAAAACAAATCAACTCTTCAAGAGATTCGTATAATCATTGTATCTTAGCATCATTTGTCACTATAGACCTTATTGCTGAAGAAAGCCAAAATGCCCTTTGAAAATTAAGGCAAAATGGATCTAAATAAATTTTGCATAGGGGCAGGCTCATCCCAGTGACCAGTAGAAGCTTTGTGATTCTATCAAAAGTGATGGTCTTCAAATAATTTCCAATAATATTATGGAAATTGCTTGAGAAAATATTTAACTTCAGGGTGTGTGGGCCATTTTTTGGTAAACATTTTAGAAGTATAGTCTTTGATGAAGTTGACTTAAGAGAATGCTTAGTTGTAGCCACTAAATGTGAGTTCCATCTTGGATAACTTAATAGGTCAATGTTGACTGGAAGCTTCTGAACAAAATGTTTTGTTTGGTAGCTCTTTCTTAGGTAACAGATGGGAAAAAATCATCCTCCATGCTGCATGTATATCTAGACTAGTGGTCATAGCCCCTCCTATAATACATTTTGTCAGCCTGAAATATTTTGAGGGTTTTTTCCAGCTCTAAGCTTTCTAAGATTTCTGTCATTCTCTAGACAAAAGAAGCCTCCACAACTGGAGTTACTTCTATTTTTGGTAGTATAATTTTGTGATATAAGAACACCAATTTCTAATTATCATCAGAGCATGTTGGCTCAGGCAACAGTAAGTAAATGCCAGTGGCTGGAGAACAAGATGGGTGGTGCTCATATTGGAAAGTGGCAGTGGCTCATGCCTGTAATTCCAGCATTTGGGAGGCTGAGGCAGGCGGATTGCTTGAACCCAAGAGTTGGAGACCATCTTAGGCAACATAGTGGGACTGGTCTCTATAAAAATACCAAAAATTAACAGGGCATGGTGGTGCTTGCCTACTCCACCAGTAGGTGGAGTAGCCTCCCTTACTTGGGAGGCTGAGGTGGGAAGATCACCTGAGCCTGGGAGGTTGGGGCTGCAGTGAGCTGTGATCGTGCTACTGCATGCCAGCCTGGGCAACAAAGTGAGACCCTATGTAAAAAATAGAGTTGAGAACCACTTCTTTGTCCAGAGCACCTGGACTTAGTAGTCACCTGGCCTAGAGTTGAGCAGAACTTCCACCATGTAATTTCCTTGCACATGCAGAGAATTTGCTTTCTTACACAAGTACTTCCCAAACTTAGAACAGTGATATGCACCCAAGTATTGTCTCCACTTATTTATAATAGTCACCTTTTACTAGAAACCAATTTGAATACAAAGCATTTCCCAGAGACTTAAACAGTTGCTTTAAATGAACAATACGTGGAAAAGCCTGGACCACTAACGTTAGGCTTATGTCCAACTTCCTTCCTGCACATCCTCTCATTTAAGGGGTGGACGTGATTACCTCAGGGTTTTCGGTAGGGATGATACTCAGATGACCTTGGATGCTTGTTCCGTTGCCAGTACATGGAGAGGAAAAGAAACCTGAAAAGCCACTGATCCTTTTATAAAGTTGGTCTTTAAGGGGAAAAGGCATAAAAATATGTTCACACTGGGAATTTATGATTTTTAGACAGTATAACTTCCAAGTGGTATTATGTTGGTGTATAATCAGTTCAAAGTTCTACACCTCCTCCATCTCTAATTAAGGCAGAGCAGTGAGGACTCATGTTCAGCATAATGGCAGCAGGCCCTGATGAATCTTCAAACTTCATTAAATGAGTCAATTATGTTTGCTCTATGGGAGTGGCTAAGGTAGCCAAGTAGACCAGTAAATTTTATAGTAATTCCCTACAAAGACTAACCAAAAAGACTTTTATGTCTTATTCTGAAGGTAACAGGAAATGGAAATTAAGCAGATCTTCTTTATTTTTGATTAGTTAAGGTTTCCTGGACTTTGAATTATGTGAGCGTTGGCTCTCTATATCTGTGGGTTCCATATATGTGGATTCAACCAACCAAGGATTGAAAATATTTGGGAAAAAATATCAACAATAAAACAATAACAGGGTAGGCCCAGTGGCTTAGCCTGTAATCCCAGCAACTCAGGAGGCTGAGGTGGGAAGATTGCTTCAGGCCAGGAGTTCAAAACTAGCCTGGGCAACATAGTGAGACCCTGTCTCTAAAAAAAACAAAATTAAAATTAGCCAGGTGTGGTGGTGCATGCCTGTATTTTTAGCTACTTCAGAGGCTGAGGTATACTCCAGCCTGGGCAACAGAGTGAGACCCCTGTCCCTAATGAATAAAAATAAGATAAATAACAATATAACAATAAAAAGAACATAGATTTTAACATGTAGTGTAATAATTATTTTCATAACATTTACGTTATATTAGGTATTGCAAATAATCTAGAGATTATTTAAAGTACATGGGAGGATATACGTAGGTTACATGTAAATACTATGCCATTTTAGATCAGGGACTTGAGCATCCATGGATTTCAGTGTTGGGGGAAAGGGTCCTGGCACCAATGCCCTGTGGATACCGAGGGACAACTGCACCAGTGTCTCCATTGTTTAGAAACGAATGTTGTCTCCTTTAATGTCTGAGTAGCCCCAGGTGTACCTGGAAAAATCTACATCATTGATTAAATAATGTCCCAGCAAATGAACAACCCACCTCCAGGTAACTGAGGATGCAGTATTTCTGGGCTCTGCTCAGCCCACAGGTAGAAGAAGCCGTAAGCTGTGTGTTCCTGCCCACCAGGAGATCGCCGGTGGTGGGATGACAGGCACCCCTGTTGCAGTCATCTTGAGCTTTTGAGTAAATGAGCCACCCTTGAACACAACAGAAATATCTTACAAGGAATGCAGTCTAAGGATAGCACAGGGCCTGCAGAAATGACTAGTTAAGGGGGAGAGTTATGTATTTATTTAACATTGGTCAAAGATGTAACAGACTTTTAAGTTTATTAATAGATGATAAATGGTCCCTACTTTGCTTGCTGGGTGCATGAGGTGTAATAACTCTTAGAGTCTTTTGAAATCTGTATTCCAAAATACAGATTTGGATTAAAGATAAATACTTCTAAAATGTGTTGAACTGAGCTCTGTATCAGCAGGATTCTCCATCAAAAATAGATGCCGAGAACAATACACTTGAAAGATACTGCATTCTGTATCCCTCTCTTATTTACAATGGACAATCAAGCCTGAGTGACAGAGCAAGACCCTATCTCAAAAGCAACACCAAAACAATCCTATCATTTTGGAAGTAGGAAGGTCCACATATCTTACTTAGAGATTGAATTTAAAGTTAAATCTCAGGAATTAAGTTATAAATCCATATAATCAAATTTTTCTGGAAAATTTCGTAAGTTACCTATATAGTACAGTATACATGGTTTTGTGTAGACAAATCCTAACATAACGTTTGGAACTATCAAGTTAGATAAAGAAGGAAACAAAGGAAACTCTACGTGCAGATAAGCAAGCATTCCAATCATTCCGAGTTAAGATAACTGTTAAACATCTATACGGGCATGAGTGGCAAGTAGGGTCATCTGAAATATTTCTTTCCTGCAGGGTTTGTTCCATCATGTTATCTAATACACTTTGGTAAGCAATAATTTATTAATGGATTTGTTAATTGTTGGGAAGATTGAATAAAACAAAGTGGAATCTTACTGGGGGTTAAGATCTAAAGTCAACACACAAAGTTAAACATATATACAATGAGCGTCTACTGTATTTTGTGGGTAGCCACTTATGTTACAGGAAGGAGGTCCTGACCCAGACCCCAAGTGAGGGTTCTTGGACCTCATGCAAGAAAGAATTCAGGGTGAGTCCATACAGTAAAGTGAAAGCAAGTTTATTAGGAAAGTAAAGGAATAAGAGAATGGCTACTCCATAGACACAGCAGCCCTGAGGGCTGCTGGTTGCCCATTTTTACAGTTATTTCTTGATGATATTCTAAACAAGGGGTGGATTACTCATATCTTCCCCTTTTAGACCATATATGGTAACTTCCTGATGTTGCCATGGCATTTGTAAACTGTCATGGCACTGATGGGAGTGTAGTAGTGAGGACAACCAGAGGTCACTGTCGTGGCCATCTTGGCTTTTGGCCGGCTTCTCTACTGCAACCTGTTTTACCAGCAAGGTCTCTATGACCTGTATCTTGTGTTGACCTCCTATCTCATACTATGACTTAGAATGCCTTAACCATCTGGGAATGCAGCCCAGTAGGTTTCAGCCTCATTTTACCCAACTCCTATTCAAGATGGAGTTGTTCTGGTTCACATGCCTCTGACACTTACAGAAATAGTTTTATTTGTTCTTTAAAAACTATATGTGAAGAGGACAATATCATTTTATTGTTAATTCAATTAAAGCATTAGAATCCTGTTTGATTCTGGAGGCCAAATCTAAGCACTAGTTTGCTCTTTATCGCAATTCAAAATGATAGTGATAATTTTGTGGCCGTAAAATAGCCTCTAGATGGAAGGGCAGAGGACCTAGAATAGCTAAAACGTTTGAAAAAGGAAAATAAGGGTGAAGGAATAGCTCTATCCAATATGAAGGCTTACTATATAGCTACAATAAAGAAGAGACTGCAATTTTGGCAGATGAATAGACACCTAGATCAATGGAACAGAATGGAGAACCCGGAAATAGACCAACATAAATATGTCCCACTGATTTTTGAGGTGCAAATGCAACTCAATGGAGGAAGAACAGCCTTTTAAATAAATAGTGCTGGAGCAATTGGATCCACAGCCAAAAAAAGAAAAAGAAAAAATGAACTGCAAGCAAAACCTCACACCTTATAATATTAATTAAAAATTGAGCATAGACTTAAGTGTAAAATGTGAAACTATAGAGCTATGAAACTCATATAAAACATAGGAGAAAATCTGGCATTTAGGGCTAGATGAATGATTTTTAGGATGGCCAAAAAAAACCCATGACCCATAAAAGGAGAATTTAGAAAATTGGACCGTGTCAAAATTAAAAACTTTTGCTCTGAGAAAGACCTTGTGAAGAAGTGAAAAGGTAAACTATGGAGAAAGAGAACATACTTGCAAACCACATATCCAACAAAGCTCTTGTTGTGCTTGCAATAAGAGCTTTCAAAACTTGACATTAAAAAACCAATCAAATGAGCAAATGGCAAGCGACATGAACACAATACTTCAGTGAAGAAGATACATAGATGGCAAATAAACACATGAAAAGAGGTTCAACATCATTAACCACTGGGGAAATGCAAATCAAACCACAATGAGATATCACTACACGCAGATCAGAATAGCAAAGATAAAAATAGTGATAACACCAGATGCTAGAAAGGATGTGAAGATCACGCATACGTGCTGGTGGGAATGAAGAATGGTATAGGCACTCCCAGGAAGAGTATGGTAATTTCTTACAAAACTAAGCAGGTGCTAATCATGCAACTCAGCAAGGGAACTCTTGAGTATTTATCCCAGAGAAATTACAACTTATGCTCACACAAAAACCCTACGCAAATGTCCACAGCGTCTTTATCTGTAATAATAAAAAACTGGAAAACACCCAATGTCCTTCATTGGGTGAAAGGTTAAACCAAATGTGGTACATCTGTACCATGGAACCTAGCAAAAAAAAGTAGTGAACCATTGATACAAGCAACAACTTGGATGGATCTCAAAGGAACTGTGCAGAGTGAAAAAAGGTTATATACTGCATAATTCTATTTGTATCACATTACTAAACGACAAAATTATAGAGATAGAGAACAGATTAGTGGTTGTCAGTGGTTAGGAAGGCAGGGAGGGAGGGAGGTGGATGTGGCTATAAAAGGGTAGTGCTAGGGATCCTTGAGGTGGTAGAACTGTTCTGTATCTTGACTGTGGTGATGGGCACATACATCTATATGGTGATAAAATGGCATAGACTCAAATACACGCACACATGAGTACATGTATAACTGGTGAAATCTGAAAGGCCTGTGAACAACATCAGTGTTGATTTCCTGGTTGTGATACTGTGCTATAGTTATATAAGATGCTATGACTGAGATAAATTGGGTGAAGGGTATATGGTCTCCCTCTGTGTTATTTCTTAAAGCTGTGTGTGATCTTACAATTATTTCAAAATAAAAAGTAAAAGAGACAAACAATTCCCAACATCCATCAGCGTTTGGATGGTAAACCAAGCAAATCCCAGACTCAAAATATACACATGACATGTTCTAGCTGCTCTTATACACTTTATCCTTGAGACATGAAAATTTATGCCAAGCCTTATTTCAGTAGACAGGAGTGACAGGGATGGGTCTATAATAAAAAATAATAACCATACAGTGAAATCAGCTTGGTTTCTTCTCAGTTTTCTCCATTTAAAAAATATAATCATCTTTCATGAACTTATTTTACATTTAATGGCTTTCTTTCCTTCAGTTTGACCTCCAATATAGCCTATATGGTTATTGAAAAAACCATGTTATTTCTCTTACACATTATTCACATGAACTATTAATCTGGTCATTTTGTATTATTAGGCATAAAACATACAGGGATCATAAGTTCTACAGCTAAGAATATTATAGTGTCTCCACCCACACAAGTTACTAAATGACACTTTGAACAGGAAATTTTCTATTCTCAATCTCAATATAAAGATTATTATTCTAAAGCAAAAGCATATTTCTTTCTCTTTCTCTGAGACAGCTATGTGAAGAAAGCTAGCTCCATTGGACACTTCCTGTTTTGTGGTATAATAAATGGTTAATGTGGACTTTCATTTACCCAGCAACCCACATTCATGTTTTTTTTTTTTTTTTCCAGAATTGGTATCTAGGATAAATAGCTATTCAGAAGTTTGGACTCCAATAGACCAAAGATTTTTAAAGACAAGATCAGGTATAACATTTCCGTTGATGTTACATGTGAATAAAAGAAGACTTCCCTTCCAGGGATTTATTCTTTTAGACAAGTTCCATCCTGGATTTTTTTAAAATTGGAATTGTTGCCTTAGAGATTTAACATGTTTTTATAACCTGACTTGGCCAAACTTGTTTACAACAGAAATTTTTTTCAGAAAATATATTCCAGGACTTAGGGAAATTGAGCTATTATTCCTATAATATTATAAGTGCAAATATGAACTTCTTGTCTAAAATATTTGGCAAAAAGTGACTAGAAATGTAAATAGTTAAAGTTTCATGCCTGAACATAGACTGAGCAATATCCTTCCTGGGATGAAGTTTCCGAATGCCAAATTACATTAGCAACATGTTGGAATTAATTCAGAAAATAAACATGTTTATGTCTTCTGACAATCAACACATTCCTAAAAAATGACACAACCTGAAGCTAGAACCTGAAGATAGAATGTTATGAATTTTATGAATGTTATGAAATTCCAAAATGAATTTAGGAGATCTGGTCATTTAAGGAAAATATACAGTAAATTTTCTGTAAAGAATTGTTTTATAGAAATTACTGTTACTGTATAATTTCTCTAGTATTTCTGCATGTTGTCATAATTTTCTCAAATACATGAGATGCTTTCTCACACTTTAGAGTTCACATCAGAGCTTTAGAGGATGTAAACACACGTTTATATGCTCACGCAGATCATAATGGGTGAGAAAAAATACCAAGAATGTGGCCGGGCATGGTGGCTCACACCTGTAATCCCAGCAATTTGGGAGGTCAAGATGGGTGGATCACCTGAGGTCAGGAGTTCAAGACCAGCCTGGTCAACATGGTGAAATCCTGTCTCTACTAAAAATACAAAAAATTAGCTGGGCATGGTGGGGGCACCTGTAATCCCAGCTACTCGGGAGGCTGAGGCAGGAGAATTGCTTGAACCTGGGAGGTGGAGGTTGCAGTGAGCTGAGATCGTGCCATTGCACTCCAGCCTGGGCGACAAGAATGAAACTCTGTCTTAAGAAAAAAAAAAAAAAAAAGAATGCATGTAGATAAGGTTTGCACTTTGCGTGAAGTTCCTAAAACCTATGGGGCAGTGCACTTTTTATGATTACTTCTTATATTGCTCAGTCAGAAGGCAAAACTAAGTGTTTAAATATGCTGCAGTATTTATATAAGTGTTATGTTCAAACTGTCAATGGAAAAATTCCCAAGCTGATGATATGAGGCTAACCTGGTTGGGAGTTTGACCACAGGCAACTCTAGAGATTTGGTTTAGGTCAGGGCAAGCTTACATTTAGAAATGTACGATTGATTGCAGTGAGGCCTTTTCTGCCCAGGTTAATTTAGTTTAGAAAATTCCTTCTCCAGAGAGAGGAGTCCCCTAATTGAAGAGGGCTCTCTTAGCAACTGTGGACTGGTTTAGAACTTTTGCAAGATGCGAGTAAGGTATTCTATATAAAGGATGGGGAGAAGGTAGAGTGATCCTCAGTGGTCCCTTCTAATTTTGGATATTGGTTTAGTTTCAAAGAGAACATGTAAGGCAAGTGCAGGTTAAAATAACTATTTTTCTGAATGAGACCAGATCTAAACCTCCCAGTCCTGGGATGTGGAGGATAAACTGAGGGCTCCAGATGAATGACATGTTTCTGTTCCCACTGGGGTGTGGCTCACCTCTCCAAGGGGATTTTCAACAGAGAACAAATGAGTGCTTACCATCTGGACCATTACCAGCAAATCTAACTGGAAAATTACCTCAGGGTTGGAAAATTGCAAAGAAAAAAAAAAAGGTGAGATTCTGAAGGTTTGCTGTCATGAAGAAATTCAGCGTAAATCTTTGAAGTAAAGATTCTAAGCAAGTTAGTTAGTACTCAGTAATCAAAGGCAGGCCTGTTTTCGATGTAGAAAAGTCAGATCAAAGAGAGTAATTGCTGGAAACATCTTCTATATGATTAATGCAAATTATTCTCAGCTTATTAAAGATGGCAGGAGCATGGAGAATTTTGCCTTTTAGCTTAGAACTGCTGCTTACTTAGAAGAGGGAATTTTGCCTGTAACTTCTTCACAAGACCTCATTGCTGGGACAAGTGTTACACTGAAAGCATAGCTATTAAAAAAATTAGACGCATTGTATTTGTAAATTAAGACTCTGAAACTATTCTCTGTTCTTTAATATTTTACTTTACTTATCTGAAGATAACATTCCATTAAAAAGTGACAGAAATAGCAATATGTGGATACTAAACATGTTGGAGTGGAATTTTTCAGTTGCTTGACACAATTACACAACAACAGAATAGCTACACAAGTATACAGCGCTATAGAAGAAAGAAGTGAAATGTTTAAAAACTATTTCCACTTTATTTTAGGACAATACAAGCAGAAAATAGATTTTGACAACGAATACTCACCAAGGTGCAAAAAAAGGGTCAGTTGAAATTGCATTCTTTTGTCAGGAGATGATTAAGTTCAATTCTACTGGGTTAAAAAAAAAAGGTTAAAGTCAATCACTGATAGAAGAAATAATTGCCATCATCACATGTTATGTAAAAGTGCTCAGAATTATTGAATGGTTCTTATGCTTTAGACATAAGAAATATCCACACTGTCCAGTTCCTCAAAAAATAAGAGTGCATAAACATTTTAATAAATATTTGTTTGCTCTTAATTTTTGCCATTTTTCGAAATCACAGAATTCAATTGTTTGTGGGAAAGAAGAAGAAACAAATATAATTTCCTTTGTATATTTTAATTTTAACCTACTTTTTACCCGTTCTTATTTAAAAACCTTTTCTTCTAAAAATTACAGTTAATACATACTCATTATAGAAAAAGTAGAATATTCAGACAGGCAAAGTGAAGAAAAATATCCCCTATAATACCACCCACAGTGGGCCATGATTGCTCCACTGCACTCCAGCGTGGGCAACAGAGCAAGACATGGGATGAAGGGAGGCCCCTCTCTCAAGGGCCTTTTCTTCCATACTTTTTCCTTGCACAATTTTCAAAAATAATATCACACTGTTTTCTTATTTCAATCAATACATTCCAGGCATCTTTCTGTACTAACAAATGCATTTTTAATTAGTGATATTTTATCAAGATTAAGATCACCTGGAGTCTCCTATAAAGCAAACTTATGATTTTCTTCTTTGTAGATTTGGCCATGGCCCTTGAGAGAGAGGCCTCCCTCCATCCCCAAGTTACCATTAAAGAGAGTTCTGATCCGGAGTGGAATATATATGCACTTCAGTGGGTCAGGAGAAAAGAAGGTAAACTTTGTAATTTTTTTTTTTTTTTGGACAGTGTCTCACTCTGTTGCCCAGGCTGGAGTGCAGTGATGCAATGGTGGACTACTGCAGCCTCGGCCTCCTGGACCCAAGCTGATTCTCCCACTTCAGCCTCCCCAGTAGTAGAGACTATAGGCATGTGCCAGCATACCCAGCTAATTTTTACTTTTTGTAGAGATGGAATCTCACTATGTTGTAAGATGGACACCAGTATTTTTAATTACTGCATAGTGTTACTCTGAATGTAGAAACTAGAATTAATTTAATGAATTCTCTATTGGTTGATGTGTACTTGGTTTTTCCTATTTTCCTATTATAAATATTTCTGCTAAATCTTTGTTTATAGCCTTAATTATTCACTAGGATATAGTAAATGGAGCAGAAATAATGAGCCAAAGAGTATATGTGTGTGTGTGTATATAACCAGATGTATATACAAAGATTGTATATATATACACACACACACGCATATATACAAATATACATACTACATGTATATGTGTATATAAAGCTTTTGATGTCACTGTCAAACTACCATGCAGAAACTTTGTCCCAATTTACACTCTTACAACCAGCCTGTGAAAACTGCTAACATGAGCCCTTACCAACATGGAGTATTATTTTTAAATATTTGTCAGTTTAAAAAGCAAAAAAGCCTCATTATAATTTATTTGAATAGGAGGAAATATAAAACTTCTTTCATGTATTTTCAAGTGAGACTATTTTTTTCACATTCTACCTTCAAGGCTTTTCCTGGTGAATCCTTCATCCTCCTACTCCCATATTCCCAGTCCCTGCATGTATACAGTCCCTGCGCTCCAGCGTTAGCACTCCGGTTTCTGTTTTCTGAACCTTCTTCTCATGCTGTTTCCTTTGCCTTGAATGCCACCCTCCTAAGCCCAAATGTTAGCCTCCCTAAGAAGTCTTTTTAGGGTGTTTTGCAATGCCTGATATTAGCCAATATTCCATTCTGTGATTCAGGCTCTTTATGAAGCCTAGGGTTCACTTTGGAAGTCCAATGCCAGAAAGTGACTCACTGAGAAACAGTCATCCCATAGTAGCCCCATCAGAATGAGCTCTACCTGTTAGAAAAGTCTGCAGTCTTGGGCTAATGGCCTCACACAAAACCTTGTGAAGACCTATAGGAGAATCCAGGTTGCAGCTGTTAGGAAGGTCCATTCTGCATAGGCCACCTGAACTTGTACAGGCACTTTTTCTAGGTGGTACTTTCTTAATGCTTTTTTCTCACAGGCAAGTCAGGAGTTTGGCTTCTGGTCAGCCGCCTAGATACACTTTTGAAAAATGAAATCTCTAATCCTGATGCTGTCCTTTATTTAGAACTGCCCGTGTGCTTCATTCTGTCCGGAAATGCAAAATGATTGGCATCATGGTCATTTATTTAATAAGAATGGGCACTATTAGCAAAGTTTGAAAACATGATTCTCTATAACCAAATAAATGGAAGTCAGTGAGATGACAATCTCTGTGAATAGCCTATGATTCAGGGCTCATAATGATCTAGGCTCTGAGTTGCTAGCGTAAAGTGCTACGTAGGATATATCATGGCATTCCTGCTTCTCTCCAATGGAGAACCTATTCACAGGGCAGAGTCCAAAGCAAAAGACTGTTTCAAGCTACTAATCACAGGCTAATCTCTTCCTACATTGGACAGGTGGGAGTGAGGCAAAGTGCAGAATTCCCAGGACTCAGATTTAGAAAGAAAGGAGGTGGAACTGTAATGCTGAGTGCAGGAGTAAAAGAACAAGTGGAACTTCTGCAGAGCATTTGGGGAATAAAGCTTCCTTAGTATCACAGTTCACCATATTTCCATGATAAAAATGAACTGCTGAAAATTTCTTCAGTCCATATGGGAATTATCTTCAAGCAACAATAAAGGTCACGGTACAAAGACTACTGGACTTCCGAATGTACATCAGCCAGGTTTAAAAATGACCTGCCCCAAAAGAGGAGGAGGAGTCAGAAGCAGATCCCAAATTGAACTAGAAGAGATATCATTCCCTTATTGATAATTGGTTAAGGATGATCACAGTTGCTATGTGAAGACATAAATGACAGAATCACACAGCTTGCCAATAATTCCATTAGATCAGCAGGCCACAGCCCTGGATGCAACTGAGAATCACTTGAGAAGATATTTTTAATGACTTCCTTTTTGAAATATTTATTTTTAATTGTGGTAGAAATACACTTACATAAAATTGACCATCTTAATCATTTTTACCTGTACAGTTCAGTAGTGTTAATTACATTTACATTGTATGCAACCAATCTCCAGAACACTTTTCATCTTGCAAAGCTGAAACTTTGTATCCATTAAACAAGAAGTCTTCATGTCTCCCCCACCCCTGCAGCCACCATTGTACTTTCTGTCTCTATGGATTTGACTACTTAAGTATCTAATATATGTAGAATTGTACTAAATTTGTCTTTTCTGTGACTGGCCTATTTCACTCAGCATAATGTCTTAAAGGTTCATCCATGTTGTAGGATGTGTCAGAATTTCTTTCCTTTTTTTGAGACTGAATAATATATCATAACATGTACCTGAGAAGATTTTAAGACACCAGTGCTCAGGCCTAACTCAGACTAATTAAGAATCTCTGGGGAGGGACCCAGGTGTCAATGTGTATAAAATTCTCCCTAGGGGATTCTGAGATTGTAGCCAGGGTTGAGAACCACTGATGGCTTGCCAACACCTGAAACTGATTAATTTGCCCCTCACTCTTGCTCTGCTCCTGGATTCCCTTCTAAGAGAAAGGCATAACCCAGTGCTTTCCAAACTTTACTGCACATTAAAATCACCAGGGGTTTTTTTTTAATTTTTATTTTTTTTAATCCTGCTTCACAGGTCACATTCCATACCAACTACACCACAGTATCTGGGGGTAAGGTCCCGGCATCAGATTTTTAAAGATTCCAGGTGATTCCAATAGGCAGCAAAATTGGAGACCCACTGCATAACCATGGACCAACAGTCTCAGACTAGAAACTTGAGGGTTACCTTCGATTCCTCTTTTTCTCACCCTTCAAATCTAAATTCTCCTCATCAAGCCCATTTGACCTTATCTCCTAAAACAGTGGTTCTGCAAGTGTAGTCCATGGACTTAATAAGATTACCAATTCATCCTGGTTTGCCCGGGACTGTTCTGATTTTCTCATTGCAAATCCCCAGGTTCTGCAGTCTCCGTCAGTCCCAGGCAAACTTACACGGTTGGTCACCCTACCAGATGAGCAGCATCAACATCACGTGGAAATGCCAATGATCAGGGCCCAGCCAGGGACCTACTGATTCACAGACTCTGGGATGGGGCTCAGCATGCTGCCACGTGCCCTCCAGGTGAGTCTGATGAACACTCATGTTGGAGAACCACTGCCCTAAGCAACTCCCAAGTCTTTGCACTACAAAGACTGATGGCTCCTCAGTAGTAAGACACTGCCGGCTGCCATACTGGGGTGAATACAGGACATTCGGCAATGTTTGCAGACATTTTTGGCTGTCATAATGAGAGGAAGATGCTGTATGGCAGACACACCTGAGAGCAATAACTTAAGCAGACCCTGAGAATGACCTGTGGTCTAAAAGGAATGTGTGTTTGGAGTTCCAAGCTAAGGAATCCGGGAGTAGCCAACCTGAATATTCATTCCTTATCAGGAACATCTGAACCCCTGGCCCATTCCATGGAACAGGCCATCCAGCGATACAGGGGATCGAGGCCCTTTGTTTTGGTGTAAACAAAGGTTGCCAGGTGGAGGTTGTTAGAGGGAGGGTGCTCAGTGAAAATGCTGTATGAACTGCATGTATTTTACAAGCAGGAGCGGTTCTCCAGTCCAGCCTTACATACAGCCATGGGTCTGCCCTGTATATAAGTTCCCTTCAATAAACTCTATGTCTTGTTCACTGGCTCCAAGTCCCTTTGGCCTCTCAAACATGGTGCCATCCCTACTAAAGTCAATAGGGTTCTGGCACGACAGATGCTACTGGCATTGAGTGTGTAGAGGCAGGGATGCTGCTAAGTAAATATTCTACAATGCACGGGACAGTCCTGGGCCCTACAACACAGAATTAAGCATCAGTGCTTAATTAACAGTGCTAAGCTTGAGAAACTTTCTCAGTGGCTTCAGTGCCCTTAGCTATGGGCCTTATCATTTCAATCCTTATTTCCCAAAATTGCTCACCTCTAGTCTTCCTCCCCATTTTCTATTTCCCATTTTAGGAGAGCTAAGCTCCCAACTAGATAAGTATAATGAATCTGGCAACTTCTAGAAGTTCTGTTATCTGAAATCACCTATCCAGTCATTATAAAACCCACAGCTGCACATATAGCACAATTTCAGAAAATGGGGTTCCCACATTTTCTGAACTATAAGTTTAATTGGTACTGCTTTTCAGGTTGGTTTACCAGAGCTGACATTGTGAAGCCTCTCAGGGGCTACATGACACTTTTTTCTTGTTAAATTCATCAGTGAGTTTTAGTAATATATGTAAAAGTGCTCGGGACTAATAACAAAACATTATCCCTCCTTTGGATGAGATATGTACAAACGTATTTCCAAAGGCACTGGGTGCATTTTGGTAACTGTTTAATGAATACTGCTAGATGACACTGGTCTTAAAGTGTATTAAATGTTGCAATAAATACTGAAATATATTAGACTGACAACTTTCTGGCATTGCTAATTGATTTAATTTACTGACCATTCACTTATATTTGCCTCATCTGCTCTCACTTAAAGGCTGCAAAGAGTGACGTTTTTGTCAAAACAATTTGGATGAGACCGATAAAGAGAAAAGGGGCAGGTGGTGCCCAGTTGGCCAGCTCCTAGGCCCACAGGTGGATCACGTTTGATAAGAACCTCTCTGCAGGAAAGACATGCATTCTGCTCGTTTCTACTACAGTGCGTTTCTTCTGCAAATTGTACAGTAATTTATAACACAGAAGATAATTATAAATACATTTATATTAGTCCTTAAGACTTTTTCTGGCACACAAATAATGGTCTATATTTAAAATGACAGTTCTCAGAAATCTTATATTTAACATTCCTTTGTCTTTTTTTCATGTTATGTCAGGACTCATTAAATATTTCAACTGTTTTGCCTAAATTTCATAGTGAAGAATGCAGAATACGGAACTATAAAGTTTACTTTTTTTTTTTTTGAGACAGTCTCGCTCTGTCACCCAGGCTGTCATACAGTGGCACAGTCTTGGTTCACTGCAACCTCAGCCTCTTATGCTTAAGAGGTCCTTCCACCTCAACCTCCTGAGTAGCTGGGATTACAGGCATGTGCCACTACAGCTGTATAAGTTTTGTAGAGATGGAGTTTCGCCATATTGCTCAGGCTGTTCTTGAACTCCTGAGCTCAATCTGCCTGCCTCGGCCTCCCAGAGTGCTGGGATTACAGGCATGAGCCACCATGCCCGGCCAAGTTTGTTTCTTTTAGTTATAGCAGATATTTCTTAAAACAATATTTACACATATCTAGAACATAAACAAAATATTTTGAAAATACGGGTAGTTCTAATGCATTTAAAACTTTTATAAGTTGTCATAAGTTTTATAACCATAACAAAAACAAAGATTCACTGAAAACAATATAGTTGTACATTTCAACACTATATCATTTGAAGCTTCCTTCAAGGTACAGTAAGGCTCAAGTTGTTTGCTTCGTATCACAATGCACTAACATCAATTTTCCCATTGGATACTGTTTTATGTTGCAATAACCTTTATGTAAGTGTCATTGGATTATCATTCTGTAAAAGTAATAGTATTCTATGTGCTAATATGCTCCATTTCTTACTTTATGCCAATTTCACTTACCCCCTAAATTCTAATACCTTCATTTAATCCATAAAAATGCCAATTTGCTAGTGAGAGAGCAGGCAAGACTTACCAGGATTTGGTAGTCTTTGTGGAGAGGCGCAGGCAGCAAACGGGGCATGTGAAGACACACCTGAAAGTTAGAGCCAGTTTATGTAGAAAACATTCTCCCCAAGGCACCTAAAAGTAGGAAAAAAAAAGATGAGAGGTATTCCAACACCTGTCAAAAAGGTGATTTGTGAAGTCACTTAAGTTTTCACTTAAACACACACACACACAGAGGGAACTAGAGCTTAGTTTTACAGCAAATATTTTTCTTGTTTTCTCTAAAACAATTTTGATAGCCAGGAATAATGCACAGACATTTTGTTCCCTGTTTTATTATTTTTTTCTGGTTCATGTTTTAGCAGTCATTTTCAGACAGCTTGATACTTACCAGCTATAAAATGTGCGGAATTAGATGGGTTTGTTTCTCAGGAATGTGAAACCCCTGACTCCATCCCAATCTACTTTCAGGGGGACCAGGTGGAATAGTTTCAGTTGGGTTCTCAAGGCTCTGACCAGTCCTAACTGGCTCAAGATCATCTTAAATGGCTCGTAGATTTCTGTTTACCTTGTGATTTGGCAAGTACAACTAACCATTGTGGGAACAGCAGGTTTGAGTGGTTTGGGAATCCATGTGGTTTGAAATTTCTTTCTCCTACCAGGAAGGTTTGTAGGATAGAAATGAACATACAACAGTCTTGCGTTTTATTCACCTGTCAGTATATTAATATCTCCATTTCAAATCTATGCAGTTTCAATGGGTACATTTATTGATTGCTTGAAAAAACATTTAGGATTTCTAGAAGCTCATGGAAAATACCCTCATGGAAGAATAATGATTGTGAACTGAGCCAAAATGAGATGCTCATTTTTACACAACATTTACAAATCAGGAAATAGATTCAACAAACATTCACCAAATACCACTCTTACAGGCCTTTAAGCTTTTTCAATGGTATTTTTCAATGGTTCTTACCTGTTATTTGTGTTTTAATTTATTGCTCTATTTTCAGTTGATGCCACTGTTTTTTTGTTCCCTGTAGATCAGGTTCATCTGCTCACTTCTGATGTACTAGAAAGCAAACTCCAAGATGGCAGGAACATGTCTTTTCCATTTTAGGATGAAGTATGGAAGAAACTTGCAGTCAATATTTGCTAAACTGACTTGTTTTATTTTTATAAGTCAACAGGTTCCACAAAGTACCAGGTGGTAGGAGACCAAAGAGCAGTATTTGGTTTTTAGGTAGATACTTTAGCAAAGAGTGTGAGTGAAATTAAGGGACTTTTCAGTTTGTTCAATTGATGGTTTTGTGATGTTTTATTAGACCAATACTATTTTCCCTTTAGACTCTTAAATTATTGTGCAAAGCATAAACTTGGCATGAAATTTTATATAATTTTAAAACTTATTTCAAACATTGGAATTTCCTATTGTCTTTTTTGCCTTTTGAGATATGTAAATGTTAAAAGCTTGTTGCATTCTTGAGTAATTTGATTATATCTTGAGGGTTTTTCCCATTATATGTGTCTCCAGTTTTATTAGGAGAATCAAAGTTACATCGTTCAAATTCCAAAAATTTCCGTTTAAATAATCATGAATAGGTTATTGTAGGCTGTTTGCCTGTAAATTGATGCCATGTCGTGGCATATCTGCTTTCATCTCAGAATGATTTAACTGTTTACGTCTTAGGATTAGGTTTAGAGTTAGAAGCTGTCAGGCAGGATATATTTTCAAGAAAAATAATTTTCCCATGCAACTAAAAGATCAGTCTATCAGTTAATCAGAAGCAGTCTCTTGGTATAACTCTTCTTAAAGTCTTGATATCTTTTTTTCCAAAAAGAAAATAGCTTTATTGCTTTTCCTGGAAAGTAATATATGCTCATTTACCCAAAATCAGACAGCATAAAAATTCAAAGGAAAAGGAAAGTAAAAATCCCTGAAAGCATCACATTTTTGAATAACTATCTTTTCAGATCCCTCCTCCTCATTCTCTGGTTTTCTTTAGTCTATATACGCCTGTAATTTTTCTTTAGTCTCTATTTCTTTAGCTCTGTTTCTAGTCACAGAACCTTAAAAACCAACAGATTCCATTAGGTATAATTGACCTAGCAGAATTCATTTGTTGTAAGTATACATGTTAATGCCTTCGGTTGAACTGAAGTTAAGTGTGAGAGAGGTGACTTTCATCTCTTCCTTAGGAGGAGGTATTTCCCCAGAAGTCAGCCTCGGAGGAAATTCCTTGCGCAGCCTCATCTCAACCAGAACTGCTTAGTGAGCTGAGCCTCCTTCCGTCTTTCCCCCGCGGTGGCCCACCTAACTGCAGGGCTGAGGAGGCTGTTCCTAAAGAGACTTGCCCACAGTCGGGATTCCATTTGGGCTGAGGAGTCTTCACCGGGCACAGCGAGGCTTGCAAGTCCTGACAGGAAGTGTGGAGGATTACTCAGTCACAGGAGGCCTTGAAACAGCTAATCAGCCTTTAATTAGATTCAGTGAACCTGAATGAAGCCAAGATCCTAGTGCTTGAGGCAGCTGACACACGCTACCAAAGCTCTGAAAGGACAGAACGGCCTGGGCTGCCTACAACGCCCTCAGGCAGCGAGAAAGTGGCAAAACCCTCCCTGACAGAACCCATGTCAACACCCTTTGTATTACCTCAGAGTGACCACAGACAAAGGGCTCATTGGAACCTGGAGAGAACCCCAATGGACTTACCATTTGGCTTCTCTTAAAACCAACTCTCCCAGTTCTTCCCCTCACAGGAAGACCCATCCAGCCTGCAGCGGCCTGGGCCTGAGGTTATCCTGGCATCTTCCACCTCAGAATCTGCCTTGGCGTGTTCTAATTACAGAGACCGAGGTGGATGGAGCTCGCAGGGCATTTAGGAGAGACGAGGAGAGGAGACTCAGGTCCATTGATTATTCTTATAATCCCTATAAGAATCTAAAAATACATTTCAACATTTATAGGAATTTTACAGTTGTTGATAAATGTGTAAAAGCTGTGTCATTTCTTTTTTTCTTTTTCCTTTTTTTTTTTTTTTTTTGAATTGGAGTCTCGCTGTCTCTCAGGCTGGAGTGCAGTGGCGCGATCTCGGCTCCCTGCAAGCTCCGCCTCCTGGGTTGACGTCATTCTCCTGTCTGAGCCTCCTGAGTAACTGGGACTACAAGCGCCCGCCACAGGGCCCGGCTAATTTTTTTTTTTTTTTTTTTTTTTTTTTTTTTGAGACGGAGTCTCGCTCTGCCGCCCAAGCTGGAGTGCAGTGGCCGGATCTCAGCTCACTGCAAGCTCCGCCGCCCGAGTTTACGCCATTCTCCTGCCTCAGCCTCCCGAGTAGCTGGGACTACAGGCGCCCGCCACCTCGCCCGGCTAGTTTTTTGTATTTTTTAGTAGAGACGGGGTTTCGCCGTGTTAGCCAGGATGGTCTTGATCTCCTGACCTCGTGATTCGCCCGTCTCGGCCTCCCAAAGTGCTGGGATTACAGGCTTGAGCCACCGCGCCCGGCTGGCCCGGCTAATTTTTTTGTATTTTTTTTTTTTTTAGTAGAGACGGGGTTTCACCGTGTTAGCCAGGATGGTCTCAATCTCCTGACCTCGTGATCCGCCCGCCTCAGCCTCTCAAAGTGCTGGGATTACAGGCGTGAGCCACTGCACCCGGCCAAAAGATGTGTCATTTCTAAGCAAAAATTAACCAGTCTTAAGAGTGTGAGATCCAGCTAGGACTTTAGAGATAATTAGTTCTCTTTGTCCTTGAGAAAAAGCGAAAATCTAGAGAGTTAAATGACTCAGCTAAAGCCACACATTAGTCCACAGCCACCTCACTGTAACAGCCCACGGTGATGCCATGTTTCTTTTGTTGTTTGGTGTGGCAGCTTTGTGGCATAGTCACACTAGCACTCTTGAAGATTTCAGTGAATCCAGGGAAATGGGAAAGTTTTGTAAGAGAATATGTTGTACTAAATAATTTAATCCCCTCATCAACCTGTGAGGTAGATACTAAATTATTCTTTTTATAAATGAGGAAACTGAGGCACAAAGAAGTTAAGTAACTTGCCCATCATCACACAGATATCAACATTTCTTTTAATTCCCTCGAGATGAACTGAAATAGCAAGAAAGCAGGGGAAGTAGAGTAGTAAAGATTAGGTTGTTGGGGGCCAATCTCAGGTATCAAATGGCAGAATCAGTCCTCCCAGGGACCTTCCCTTCCATCACGCTGAACTGTGCCAGGAAAAATTGTGAAAATCTTTGAAATGAACAAAAATATTACTTGGTATCTTATGTAGTATATCTTTCCCGTTTATTTCTGTGTTTGAGCTACTTTACAACTCTGTACTCTTAGAATACTGATAGCAGTACAAAAGATTCTTGTCCATGGAAATGCCAATTGTGTCCTGTAGAGATGCAGTTCATTATTGCCATATAGATATTGATAGATACAGATACCAGCCAATTGATTACAGCATTTCTGACGGCCTATACATGTGTGTTTTTAAAAAAATTCTCCTTTGAACTGGTTATAACATTCTCCTGTTTCTCTCATTAATGAGCAAATTGAATAGAATCTTTGGTATATATTTGCTTTATATTTATATGAGAGTCATGATTTCCCTTTAAAAAATATTAACCCTTAACATCTGCTTGGCCTTCCTGCGTGTGCATGTGTGTCGTATGTGGTTCCTTCTGCATGGAATGTTTTGCCTACTTCATCTAGATCAAGGATCAGCACTCTACAACCCACAGGTGCAGGCTGGCCACTGCCTGCTTTTATAGGGCCTGCAAAGTAAGAATGGCTTTTACATTTTTAAATATTAAGAAAAAATTTTTAAAATAGCATTTTGTGACATATAACAATGATATGAAATACAAATTTTTGCACTCACAAATAAAGTTTAATTAGAACAGTCCAATTGATTATCTGCATATCATCTACAGCTGCCTTGTTTAAGCTACGATGGCAGAGTTGAGTAGTTGTGAGGGACCATACCACCTGCAAAGCCAAAAACATCCGCTAGCTGACACTTTACAGAAAAAGTTTGTTAAGCAATGGTCTACTTCATGCTGCTAGAGTCTCAGCATCACCTCCAGGGCATTGTCCCTACCCCTCCATTCTGGGCTGTGTTTCCCCTTCCTGATGCATATAATACCCTGTGTGTGTGCAGCCATTGCCGTCCCTGCTATGTGGCTGACTCTCTCCTTATAACTCCACACCTAGTCTGTAAAGCCCTGAAGGACGTGGGTTTTGTCTTATTTACCCTTCCATCACCAATGCCTAAGATAGTGACTGACACATAGTTTGCACTCAAAATTTGGGTTTGTTATCACTTAGAAGCCATTGCCATTTGAATTTATTGAATTTTCTGCTTTTCCAAACTGAATGTTTCCCCTTGTATTAGTTCCCTTTTGCTGCTGTAACAAAATTACCACAAACTTGGTGGCTGAAAACAACACAAACTTATT